CACCGTAATGTGAATATCCTCCTCCTCTTCCTCCCTCCTCCTCTTCCTCCCTCCTCCTCTTCTCCTGTCGTTCTTTCTCCTCATCTTCCTGTCTCCTTTCTCTCACACTTTCTCCTTCTTCACTCTCCCTCTCCCTCCTCTCTCATCACTCTCCCTCCTCCTCTTCCCCTGTCATCCTTTCGCCTTCTCTTCTTGTCTCCTTTCTCTCACACTTTCTCGTTCTCTCTCCCTCCTCTTCCTCTCTCCTCTTTTTTTTCCCTCCTCCTTTCTCCTCTCTCACCTCTCTTTTCTCATCTCTCCTTCTCTTCTCTCTCATCCTCTTCCTCTTTTCTCATCTCTCCTTCTCTTCTCTCTCATCTTCTCCTGTCAGTAGATAGTATAGACGGCGGTATTGAGCAAGTGGTGAAAAGGTGGTACTGCACCCTAAAACTCCCCAGAAAAGAGACGGCGCTCTTGAGCAAGTGGTGAAAAAGTGTTACTGCACTTTTTTTTCAAAGAGTTTTTGAATATGTAATGAGTGAGCTTCTGTTGACCCTGTGTGTGTGTGATAAAGTAAATGCTTCACAGTTGTCTAAAGTGATTTATGATCACGGTTTATCATAGCACATGTTTATTCTAAAACAAACAGTTAGTAAAGACAGGTCAATAAACTAATTAATCTACAGGTCCTCCCTGTTAACGACACTTAGGTGTATGTGTGTGATAGCCTTATCATGATGACGGTTTGGAGGGAGTACTAACAACAAATCAGAATGGGTGGTAGGATGGACCTGCCCCGGCCTATCAACGTAGAACAAACAGTGTAGGCGAATGAAGGCGGTGGGAGGACTATAAAGAATCACTAGAGTGAAGCAGATCCCTTTCTCAAACTTTTTTTTTTCATATGAGTTTTTCCTTGCTGATCCAGGATGGGTTTGTTACACAGTTATTGAGAAACTAGAAGGACTGTGGTGATGAGCCAGGACACTTTTAATATTCTACAACATGTAGTGGTCTATAGTCTTTATGTGTTTTAACTGCTGATTCTCCGATCTGTGTTGGTGATTTTCAGTAGTTTTTGGTAAGTCCTCTGAGATGACTACAGTTGTGATTTAGGGCTATACAAGACTAAATTGTATTGTATTGTATAGGTGTTTTTTTATTTTTTCTGTAACAAGAGGTACTGCATCCAAACTCTGAAAGAGCGACACTTAGGTGTGTGTGTGTGTGTGTGTGTATGTGTGATAACCTTATCATGTGGCCCAGAGTGTTGCACTAAAACAATAGGGGGATAGTTGTTATTTTCCAACTGGTACACCAGTATGAACGATCCGTGTGAAACTCACCTGATGACAAAGGTTCCGTGGAGCAAAAACACATATATTTTTAGTCGCGTTTATCAATCGTAATTAATGCGTTATAATCCTAACCCTATTCATAAGGTAGTAGTCTCTATATCAATTTAATTGTCCAATACAATAAAAATAAGAACCCTATATACATATATGTACACAGTTTGAAACAGAGTAGGTAGATGTGAAACTAGGGTCCTTGGTACAGGTTTTCTTTTACGCGAGATCAAATGATTTAAAGGCGTACATCTCTCAGATATACAATTGACACTTGTTACCATAAATAGTCATCTTAAAGACTGATTAAACAACCATATTACATACCTTAAACATTATGTACAACATTTTACCTAAACACAAACCAGTAATTAAACATTATGTACAACATTTTACCAAAACACAAACCATTAATTAAAATCCAGATTTTCTTATTATGTAACACTCTCATATTTATTGAGTATAGTAGTTTTGTTGTTTCTTAAAAACCATGATTTTTATTTTGACTCTTTAATGTCTTTGTTAAGTTGATTCCTTCCAGAGACCATTCTTCCCATGACTTTAGTTCTGAATCTAGTTTTTATTAAAGATATCAGTTACAGATTGTATCGACTTTGTCTTTTTTTTCCAAAGTTCTCGTAGATGTTTTCTGCTAATGTTTTGCAATTTACCTTATACAATGTAGGATAAATAGTATAATCCACTATAACATATAATTTTAACACCAAGCACTCAAAAACAGGATTTGATGAATCTCGATATATTTTCCTTCTGGTCTTTTTTTAACTATAGGCTGTGTTAAACGTTGTCTCCAAATGTTGACAACATAGGTGAGGTCGGTATAATCATTCTAGTATCTAAGGTCAGTAATGCTGAGCGGTGTTTTCGTGGATGTTTTCTGCTAATGTGTTGCAATTACCTTATACAATGTATGATAAATAGTATAAGCCACTATAACATACAATTTTAACACCAAGCACTCAAAAACAGGATTTGATGAATCTCGATATATTTTCCTTCTGGTCTTTTTATGTAAAATAACTATAGGTAGTGTATGTGTTTTAAACGGTGTCTCCAAATGTTGACAACATAGGTGAGGTCGGTATAATCATTGTATTATCTAAGGTCAGTAATGCTGAGTGGTTTGGAAAGTGTAAAACACCAAGTGATTTTGGCCGTCTAGTCTTATCGATACACTATTTAATATTTTTTCTTTAGCATTGAATATCATGTAATCGTTTTTCTTTGTTTAGAGCAAAGTCATTTGAACCAAACAGATTTTTATTATGACAAGTTCTTTGTTTATTACTTTTTGATAACTCTCCAACATTTTTCCACAACAAAATAATGCTGAGGCACCAGCAAATAAGATTATTTGTAATATAGTTGTCATGTTTACAAGTTTAAAGACATAATTCAATCATTTATAAGTTGCAACACGTTCTTAAATGCTATGTAATAAGTTACATTTTAAAAAACAAAGATTCCCTTTTTTCCATGGGAAATGAAGACAGGGTGAAATCCGAGGCACTCTGATAAAAGTCCTTTAACAGAGAAGGGGCCAACGTGTTTTGGGCCCCGCAGCGCCTTCTTCACCCAGTGTGATAATAAGATATATTTGTTTGTTGTGCTAAAATATAAGGGGAAACAAAGTAAGACATCTTCTCTATAAAACAGCAGTTTCCTGTCCGAGCAGAGTAAGCGCTCTTGTTTGGTTTGTTTTTTGTAAAAATCTTTGTTTCATGTGTTGACCCTTGGCAAACTTTCGGCTTTGTAAGTATTATTTAATCTCATAACCATATTGTTAGGACCCCAAAAGTGTTTTATTCTACAGCAAAGTGTTAAGTTTGGGCTATATCTGAGTAGCAAGCGCTGTACGCAATTCCGTGTGTATAGCCGTCGATAGTTTTTTCTGTTGTTTCAGTTACGGTGATTTTGGTATTTTGTATTTAAGGATGCAATGAACCATACGCGAGAGATTCTCTATGAAACAAGAAAAGTAAACTTGTCTACAGAGTTTCTTTCCCGTTCGCTCCAGCTTCAAATGGTCACGTATCGTGAGGACACCACAATAGTTGATACTTTTGGAAAGTCACTCATACAAACAATATTGGTATTGAGTAATTTATTATTTTTTACAATTTATCTGCACAAACTGTTTAAGATTTTTCTAGATAACTAGAGAGCCAAGTATGAGCAAAGCCTATGATTCCATTTTCAGGAGTGGTTAATAACATCAAAAGCCTTTTGCAGGTCTAGTAAGATACTTACAACATATTTATCTTCATATTTTCTCTGTCAGTTCCATTATAGCCACAGCAGTTGAGTGTTTTTTCCTAAAACCATACTCATTTTGAATTAGTATATTTACTTTTGTAAAAAGCTATCCACCATATTCACATTTGTGATCACTCAATTTGTTCAATCAATAAAGTGGAAAAAGGAAAAAAATTCCAAAAAAAACTTTTAAAAAAATTAAAAAACAAAGAAAATGTATGCATTAAACTCATAATCATCTAATCAAAGATCAGTGGATTTTATCTCTATCCTGGGGAAAAGGAAAAAAACATAACAAACAAAAAATAAAGTATAATAAAAACAAACAAAAACTATTGGACAAACAAGAACTCAGCAGATTCAGGTCAAACACAGACAAAAACGAGCTGAGTCTCAATTTAGAAGCTAATTTCACTTTTCTTACTCTTATACTATTATTCTAATGCTGATGGTTTTACACTTCACTCGAATCTTTCTCACTGGTTAATTTTTTTTTTCAACTTTTCAATCTTAGACTGTGTTTACTTTACTTTTTACTATTCACTTAGTTTAAAATACTATTCTAATCTATTACAAATATGTTTGCATATTTTGTTCTAGTTGAGCCATTTCTTAACATAATTTTATTTAATCATAATAAATCTCTCTATTCTGTGGTTTTATACTCTCCTTTTCAGTGGGATTTTGCTCTATGTCTATTTTCAGTCTGGAAGGTATATAACTGAACACAGTAAGGCAAATGGTCAACATTTACACTTCTATAGTGGTCAGTGATTTATTATTTTTATTATCTCATGATATTATTGTCAGGCAATTTGGGTATGAATGTACATCATTAAATCAAATTAGTATTATCCTTACAAGAGCGAATCTATTGAGCAGGTTTGGGGTTGGTGGTCAGTTATTCTACATGGTGTTTGAATTCTGATTCTAATCTGTGTGATCTTTGTATTCTAATTATTATAGATGATCTATCAAAAAGGATATACTTACTATACTTCGTACTATCCTATCCCACTCTGATTCTGTGTTCTGACGATCATAAGGCGCCAGCCGTCTCGGCATACTGCTAAACGGGCCGCACCTCTTATTGTCTAAACACAAAATTGCTTTCCGGTCCCGGCACTACTTCCGGGACCACATTGCTGCTGTCTTGACTTTTACCCTGCACTACGTCTCATGATCAAGTGATTGGCTGTGGTTGTAACATTAACACTGTTTTGGCTGTTGTCCCTTGCTGTTTCTGTTCCAACTAAAATCTCTACTTTGCCAAACTTGATGTTTGATTGTACTAAACTAATACGCTAATTCCGCCCCTCCTTGCACTAAACTAAAACTAATAATTTTAATCCTGCCCCTTCTTCTGCATGTCACGCCTAGACCACACTGCTGCCCATGGTGGTAACATTAACACGGTCTAGCTGTTGTTCCATGCTGTTTTGATTGCTCAAACTAATAACCACTCTATGTTTGATTGTACTACACTGAAACGAATCATTTTAATTCCGCCCCCTTCTGCATGTCATATTGTTTTATTAGAACACATTACTGCTATACATAACAAAAGCTAACGCTCTGTTTCTGCTTCTCCTCTTAAACATAATTGTTAAGCTACATTGCTGCATTAGCCAAGGTTAATGCTGTAAACTCTGCTCTCCTTCTGCTGCATGTCGCTGGTGATACGCATTCCATGCTTTATTCCTGCTCACTCACTACTGCTAGTTTACAGTAACACATCTGTGTGGTGATTTAACAAACACTGCACTCCCACACACCCCCGCCCCCCTCCTTGCCACTGATAATAACACATTGCTGTGGTAACTAATCCTATTCTGTACTCCTGCTCCTGCATGATGCGCGTTATTGTTGAACCACATCGGCGTGTGATCTGACAGATACTGCACTCCCACCTAGTGGCGAAACTAACACTCTACTATGCCAAACTCTATGTTTGATTGTACTACATCAAAACTAATACTCTATTTCTAACCCTCACTGTCGCTAAAACTGCATTACCTTGCCTCAGCCTGCTGCCTTTTTGCTACTGCTTACTTGAGCTGCGTCTAAAGCTACGCCGCGGCCCAAAACGCAAGTGCGAGCCAAACGCAAGTGCGAGACAAACGCAAGTGCGAGACAAACGCAAGTGCGAGACAAACGCAAGTGCGAGACAAACGCAAGTGCGAGACAAACGCAAGTGCGAGACAAACGCAAGTGCGAGACAAACGCAAGTGCGAGACAAACGCAAGTGCGAGACCAAACGCAAGTGCGAGACCAAACGCAAGTGCGAGACCAAACGCAAGTGCGAGACCAAACGCAAGTGCGAGACCAAACGCAAGTGCGAGACCAAACGCAAGTGCGAGACCAAACGCAAGTGCGAGACCAAACGCAAGTGCGAGACCAAACGCAAGTGCGAGACCAAACGCAAGTGCGAGACCAAACGCAAGTGCGAGACCAAACGCAAGTGCGAGACCAAACGCAAGTGCGAGACCAAACGCAAGTGCGAGACCAAACGCAAGTGCGAGACCAAACGCAGGTGCGAGACCAAACGCAGGTGCGAGACCAAACGCAGGTGCGAGACCAAACGCAGGTGCGAGACCAAACGCAGGTGCGAGACCAAACGCAGGTGCGAGACCAAACGCAGGTGCGAGACCAAACGCAGGTGCATCTCACGCTGCGTCTACCGCTGCGGATTAACGCCGCGCCCTAATACTGCTGCTGGCGCCACTGCTAACCCTACGTGCGCCAACGCCACTAACCCCAACGCTCTCCGCTGACACACAGGTGAAGAAGTACTAACGCCCGGCCCCTGCCCTAGGCCGCCTACTCGCATACACCGCCACACGGAGAGGACGCTGTAGTCACGGTTTTGACACACACCAAGGTCTACACCACCACACGACCAACAGCTAAACTACCCTCTCTATAGCACTGCTTTCCTCCTTTCCCTCCTCCCACCGTGTCGTACACACACGTTCCAAGTCATACTCGCATACACTCACCCACACAAATATGGAAATCGATGGCGGAAACTCGCCACGACCGAGCAGGCACGACGGTGTCTCAGAAGGACACGGCATAGTGGATAACTTTCTGCGAGACCTCACAGAGAAGTTATTCCCAGGGGGCTACGACACGCTTGAGCACAGCTCACTCTCTTACTTACAAGATGCTACCTCCAGATTAGCATCCGAAGCTACTACGACGAAACTCCAAGGTAAGACCCTAACCCAGTGGCTAGGACGACTGGCCATAATCTCCAGGATAACCTTGCGCGACTCCGAAGCCCAGAAAGCAAGGCTCCAAAACACAGTGAGTGACCTGGAACGACAACTGGCGGAAACTAGGAAATCCGCCGCGACCCGCTTACAACAAATCCCACAGGTAAGTAGGGACCACCAACAGGGACTGAGCATGACTCCAAGCGCGACCATGGATCTTGATCGCGCAGCGGAAATCAGGACCGCTATTTCGAACGGAACCAGCCGTGACAGTACCTCCGGCCCACACTCCCCTCGCTCCGACCGCGGCGAACCATCGTCCAACTGTGAACGCAGGAGCGTGGCCGAACTGGTAAGTATCATGACGGGAAAGGACCAAAATCAAGGTCATAGGAACAATACACAACTCAACATTGGACACGTCGACCACTGCGACCCCCACGACGCCCCTCCGGGAACACACATGGACATGCGACACAGACAACATGACTATCCGACCCATGACCCCGGCCCACCTGACGTCCATACGAGACATGTTTCAGACCGCAGCCATTGGGACGAAAGGGCCCGCCCTCAACATAGCGGACAAACCTACAACGACCCCCCTGGCCCACACCTGAACATGCTACATGGACCACACGACTTACGGTGCCCCAAGTCTGGGCCGTCCGCATATGCTGCGACACAATGGCCAGTGACCCGCGATGGGAACGCCGGGGACCTCCCCAAACATGGAGGACAACCCCACGGCGACCCCCCTGACGCACGCCAGGACTTAACCCTAGGCCAACGGGACTACCCGGACTGGGGGGGGACGGCCCCCGACCTCGACAGGTCGGACTTAGCCTCCCTCCGACACGACGACCCCACACTAGAACGCCCCTTCGACGTCACGATCGACACGACGCTCGGAACCCCCGGCCGTGATGAAGAAATAATGCCGATACGCCATGGGCTGTTAGATTCTGCTTCCGATACACTCACTTCGTCGGTACTCGTGGTGCCTCGAAGCATGAGGGGGGTAATGTTGGCACACGCCCATGACGCACCTACCGCGAAACAAACAGGTACAAACAACACACGTCAGGCACTACAACAGGTAGAAACAACGGACCGAACGGCGACCAAAATACTAAGGTACGTATCCCCAAACCGGAGTGACGAGAACGTGAAACTCCCCCGGCGCCTGAGGACAAACCAATACAGGACCGACCCGCAGGACCACCCCCAGGTCAAAAACCAGGTATGGTATTACACCTTGGCACACTCCCCAGGACACGCGGGGACCGGCCCCACCAGACTACGCCGGAAATCGCTACCCCGCTGGTCAAGACCATACAGGGTGGGAAACAAACTCTCAACCGCAGTGCACCAAATCGAGGTCACAAAAGGTAGAGAGCCCACCCTCAGATGGGCCCGTTACAGCCAAACCAAACCACACAAACAAAGCCCCATGGGACAAGCAGGGCACACTTCAAACCCCAGTTAGGAACACACCACGTGACCTCAAACACGATTAGTCCAGCACCCACTAACACTCTTCTCGGCTGCACTAATCGACTCTCTCTTTCTCTGTCCCTGTCTAACCCCTAACAGTTGTTTCACGCCTTGCAGAACATGTGGTCCACTTTCCTTCTCGTGCTGACCTGCATACTGGGCCTCGGCACCCCAGAAATTATTGAGACCGGACCAGCCTCCGGGATCGTTTTAAAGGAACAACCCGGGCTCCTCATCACGGACGTCCGACTCCACACACAGCGAATCTTTGTCAGACTCAATCCTAGTGAAGTCTGCCGCAAGAACCTGCCCTTGAAGGTCACACTCAAAGATTGGGCAGGTGCACGCTGGACCCAGACGGTCGTGGAGCATGCTGAGGCAGACATACAACACATGCTGACGCAACTAGAGAAGTTCACGATCACTAGGACAGAGCTCAGTGACCCTCGCCCCAGACCCAAACGATTTATTGGGGCTCTCCTCGGCGCGGCGTCCGCCCTGGGCACCCTCTTTAGTTTAGGGATGTCCACGGTAAACGCCATCAGCCTATCCTCCCTCAGACGCCACCAACAAGAAATGGCCTCTGAGCTCGAGGATGTCAAAACCAGACTTGACCAACAACAGAACGACGTGGTAACCTTGGGAAAATCCCTAAAAGGAACCATGCTAGTACTTAACACACACGAGGTTGCGATTAAACGCACCTCCGCTGCGGTCAACCAACTCTTAGACGTCCTCCAACTAGACTACGCCCATACTCAGCTGACCACCCAACTGATGGAGGACATGCTACGTCACCTCAGTTCCTCGATCGAAAACCTAGCCATGGGCCGTATCCCGCCATACCTCGTGCCGCTATCGTTAGTTGAGAACATTCTAGCCGTAGCCACACGGGACGCCGTAACCCCCATGCAAGCCCACTTAGCGTACACGCTGGGCGCTGCAGTCCCCATCTATGTTAATCCTCTGGACCGCGAGGTAGCCTTTCTAGTCACCCTACCGATGTTCCCGGCGACAAAATCTACCGACTAAAAGGGATCACTAACCTAGGGACTTGGAGGGACAATGCCCACGTCAGAGTCCAGACCCCAGACATAGTAGCCTACCACGACAGTAACCCCAATTTATACCTAACGCCAAACCTAAGGATGTGTACCCTCACCAAGGACATCCATTACCTCTGCCCCAGCAAACCTTTCGTCAGGGACAGCACCGATGGCATCTGCGGCCTGAGGCCCATGACTCCAGGGAGTCGATGCCCCGCGACGGTCACCTCTCGGAAACAAATAACCGAAACTAGAGCAGAGATTGTAGGGGCACGCTGGCTAGTGAACACTCCCCTTAGAACGGCGACCCTGACCTATGACAAACACGACACCTCGTCCCGAGTAAGCCTCCCGGACGAAACCTTTTGGGTCGACGTCCCAGCCGACGCTATCCTGCACGTAGGCGACCTGGCATTATACCACCTGTATCCGAACCAGTACGAGGCAGAGGTCGAGATACCAGAGTTCTTTGAGGAAAGGGCCTTGGAACTTCAACCCTCTACCCTAGTCCAAGCCACCTACGAGGGGGCACAAACCGTTGACGTTACGGTCGTAGACAATCTCCTTCAAGAGATTGCCAAGCGACCGACCATCCACCACCAACCAGTAGCCTACTCCTGGGCCGCCCCCGATACAGTCATGGCCATCGCGGTAGGACTCGGGTACGGCCTGGTCGTAGTCATGGCCTTCGTCCTAAATAGACGGGTTAGACGACTCCGCGATAGCTTTAACAGGTGCACGGAGGCAATGACGAGACAGATCCGTAGACGACCAAACCGGGGCGACAGCGCCGTCGAGCGTGGCAATTTGAGTCGGCGTCCCCAGGTCAATGAGTCAGAGTACGAGGACCTCCAAAGTCACCCACTCGAGGCGGTCACCCTTTCTATCACGGAAGGTGAACCAAGGGCCTAAAACACCACTAAGAGTCACCAGCTCAGACCCAACCAACCTACCTCGATACCTAATCAGTCTCCTAGACAATCATGCCTGTCATCCCCATTTATATGCAGGAAATGTCCCTCGTAATTAAAGCCCCACTTGCTACGTCATATATTCGTGTAACCCTCACACTCCCCTTTTAGAACGAGCAAGATGGGAACCCCTCACCATCGAGTGCCTTAACGACCAGCCACGCCAAGGCAGCCCACCCTTTTTGATTTTTGAAGTTTCCTATTTTGTATCCTAGTCCCCTAAAGTAGAAACTCCTGCTACTCTCTTGGCTTGGAACTTTGAGTCTTCCAGACCAAGAGACCCAGGAGTCAGGCGCACCGGCCCAAACCTTAGAGTTCACGGCCGGAGCTCACTCCCTAAAACCCCTGATCCCGGTTAGAACTGGCCTGCAGGGCCAGGACTCGCCTTAGAGAAAACCCGGCCTCGACAAACCAAGCCAGAGGCCCGAGACCCAACCGCTACGAGCCTGCCCCAGTTAGGCGCTTGCGAGCTACTGAGTCACATTGAGACGGGAATGTTGTAACATGTCACCACAAATTGTACACTAACACCCGAACAGGCGAGAAGACCGACTGAAGACAACCCCACAGCATATCCGACATGACATGCACCTTGTCGGAAGGTGCATCTCTGCCGTGGGGGGGGTATGTAAGGTTAAACTTAGGGCAGGACCAAGCCTGTCCACTCTGTTTACCATTGACCAAATGGAGAGATACAGCTTCAAAGGAGCCATGGGGTCAGCCACAAGCCGCCATCAATCATGAGGATTACAGATGCCAAAAAGAGCAATAAAGTCACCACGGGGATAAGCACCTCTGTCTCTGCCTGCCTGTAGAGATCAAAGATCACAACCCTGCCCTCGCTCACAGACTCCTGCCACCGGACAATCAAAGACTCCCCCGCGGCGCTCTGACGCCCCCTTGTGAACAATGGACACTATCACACCCGGGACGGACAATTGCGAACCGGTACCCCTGGGTCCAGTACTCCAATAATCTGCATTGTGCCCCATATGTGTGTATCAATGTCAAAGTAATGAAATACGGTGTGTGTTTGTACATG